AAATTATTCGAAATACTTCTAATTGACAATATTTATAGTTGGAATTCAATTAAACAACAAATCGAATTGAACAAAATTTTTTTTTTGAAAAAATGTTCAATATTTCATAATGTATTGTATTTTATGTTATTCTTTTCATTCTTCACCATTAAAATGTTTTTTTTCCAGTCCTGTATATTCCTAAAATAATGATTATTATTAATATGCCAAGATCAAATAAATATGTGGAATTCAAAATTAAATAATCAAATTTTACTTCAATACAGAAGTTTTATGTCCATTACACTTTTCATTTTATTATTCCATGTATACGACATCTCATAGTTCATTGACAGTTCAACCAGAAAAGGACAAGTAAAAAAAAGGTCATATGAAAATACAAATTCCAAGGACTATTGTAATTGAAATGAGTTCAAAGAAATTGTTAATTAATTATTTGTTGTTTGCTTTCATGAAAAGTGTTGTACGGTTAAAATTTGTCATTTTCCATAAAAAAAATAAAAAAAACTTTACTTGTGGTATAAAAAATCTGTTCAATCAATGGAAGGAAAAGAAACATAATTGATTAATTCCATTTCTGATTGATTCTATTCTCAGGTCAATCTAACTGATTCATGTATTATCTTTCAATTTGTCTCAATACTTTAATTAATTCTAAAATTAAGCCCATTAATTCTCTCTAAAATATAATTTTACAATTATGATGCAAATATTGCAATATACAAAAAAAAAATTGTCATCACGTATGACAATTTTTCAATTTCGCGATTTTTCATTTAGTAAAATTAGCATGTATGGAGTTAAGTTGAGGATGATTTAAATTAAATGTAACTCAAAATAATAAGCCACATATTAAGTGATAAGATTAACAATACTGTCATTAGGAAATATAATCATTATCTTTCAGAAAGAATCAAAAAATATCATTGCTTAAAATGAAGCTGAGAAATTGTACCAATATCATAATGATAAATTTTAAGAACAAAATTTTACAATCTTACTGATCAAATACATCCAATAGTTAAGAAAATTTAAAGCAAACATTCGATAATTATAATTCAAATTTGCACATTAAATTTGTTAATTGGGTTGCACTTTCAGTTTTATCAAATGAAAGTGATAGTTTATGATTATAAATTTCTTTAAATATAATTGATTTCACAGCTTGCTATGACCAAAGATGAAAACAAAAAAATTAATGAAAAAAGCAAAGTCTTCAACAGATCGCTTAAATAAATGCATAATAAAAGGTTACTGTATCAATAAATTAAATCAATTTATTTCATTCTTTTTTCTCATCATTTTAATTTCTATTTCTTTATTTCAAATTATTGCTAAGCAAATTTTTTTGTTCCATCTTTTTTAGCTTATATGTGAAATCGATTTGCAATAAATATTTTCATTCAATTATTTGTCTTAAATATTTTCTTTCTTCAATTCAATTAAATTAAATTTACTGAATCGCTTCGCTCACCATTTTGCATTTATGTTTATCACTTATAATTTCTCATCGATACTAATTTTGGTATCAATGAAAAATTATAACTGATATTTGAAATAAAATTTTGCATATGATTATCAATTTTTTTTGAATGAAGAATGTAAACAATTTTAATAACAGCAAAAATTTTTCCTCTAAAACAAAATTTTTTTTTTTTTTTGAAATGATGAACTACCAAAATTGCAAAAAATTTTTTTGAGCAATAATTTTTACGAAGTTTTTTTTCCGTTTTTTTCAAAAATTTCATGCATATTTCTTGCAAAGATGCATTTTACGAGTGATACGAAAGTATTTTGGGAAGAGAAGGAAATTTGGACGGATAAGAAAAATGAAATGAAAAAATTTTAATCTTTGAACTTTTGTCCAGATTTTGTACAAAAAAAATTCAATTTTTTGATTATGAAAGAAATAATGTCTCAGAAGAGTTTTATTCTCCCAAATTCTTCCAAATGGTTTAGGTTTTAAATTAAAAAATTAAAAAATTAAAAAAATTTGTGTGTTTTCCATAAATTAAACTTTCATTTCAAGTAATTAATTGGAGCAGATCATTTCATAGTTGCATTTTGATAAATTGCCCAGATTTATAGAAAAAAATTAATTTTTTTGATTATGAAAGAAATAATTTAATGGCAAGAAAGTGTCTATTAACCATAGATATCTTTGTTATCACCAAATTTGTTTACATAGTAGTTCAAAGGTGTTTTGTGAAATTAAAAAGAATTTGTACCTCAGTCAAAAAATTATTTGATTTATTTTATTAATTTTATCAGAATACACAAATATTTTTGGAAAACGACCAAACGTTTAAAAATTTTTTATTCATAAAAAAATTACTTTAATTGCAAATCATTTTCGATGCTTCGACAATTTTTGTAGAAAAAAATTAATTTTTTTTTTCATATTAATTTGTTACGATGTATAGCTTTTAGACGATATTGTCAAATGCAAAATGATTTCACTTAATAATTGCCTGATAAATTTACTACTGGAACTGATAGGTATTATCATCTTCATGATATCATTAGCTCGATCACAACAAATGATGTTACCTATTGATTGCAATCAAGCACCTCCAGGTTTTTTTTTTACCTTATTTTCCTCACTATACTAATCTTCGAAATATTTTTGCTTATTAAAAAACAAAAATTTAATTTGGATTATTTATTTAGCGCAAAATGCAACTCATTTATTATGATAGAGATGATGTCAAATAGGATTTTTAAGTAAATAAAGCTAAGCATATAAAATTATATCATAACAATTTAATTTCACTTAAAAGAACGTTGACTGACGTAAATACTATCCATATGTAAATTGTGTGCGTCAATTACCTGATAAATTAAAAGAAAAAGAAAAATTATTGTCCAATATTACTAGCAATTTTTACAAAATTGTTGTAATTTGTTACTATACTATTACTATAAGTAACTATAAATATTAGAAGACAATTTGTCACTAAATGATTGCACATTTCAGGTACTTTTAATATTTTCTATGAAATTACGAAATTTCAATAAAGTATTATATTTTACTGTAAGGATATAAAAGATAATTGTCAGGCTTTTTCGAAATTTGTCAGCAGCTTCGTCAATTCGATATAGCGGCAAAAACAGCTCTATCAGTTGCTGCTCCGCAAATGGTCGTCAATGCACCGGCGGTACCGCATATTCAACCGCCTTCTTCCGCAGTACCGCATCAATCATCATTTGTTCCATCAGTTTATAATTGTTTGAATCTGCAATGCTTATGTCCATATTTTGCGGTGAATCTTTTATCGCTTCTCTGATTTTAAATTTTGCTTTCAAAAACTTTCACAATTTAGAATGTTTTAAAATGGAATTTTTTTGGCGGACAGGAGTGATTTTTCGTTATAGGTTAATTCATTATATTCCTGATTTTTGAAGAGATAAAATTTTGATCAAAGTTAATTCTGCATTTCTAAAATATTCTGAAGATTAGTCCTGTAAATTTGAAGTGCCAGAAAGTGATCATTTTCTGCAGGGTAATATATCACCGGATGGCGAATGCTACTTGCGGAACGGTCAAATATTGCAACGATCAATCCGGAAGGAAATTCGTATGTTGAATGATAGCGAAAGAAAGCGATTCTTTAATGCAGTTCGACAACTTAAAGCATCAGGAGAGTACAATCGTTTGGCCAATATACATCGACAGGTATATATATATATACCTGAAGGATAATGGAATCCTTTTTTATTTGTTATTTTCTTTAATTTTTTTGGAACACAATTCAAATAATTCTTTCTGATTTTGAAAAAACGGCTTATAGAATGAGCTGAAATGTAAATAAATCGATGGGTGAAAACTTGCTAATGCCCGACAGTTACGAGTTAAAAACTTCCAAAATAGTTAAATTACTAAATTGTTAAGTGATATCTGAATCTTCATCTGTGCTAGCACATATTGCATATCTCTAATCTCAAAGATTAAAGGGAAGTAGTTCAAAAGTTACTTATCGAAGATAATTTGTTGCAATTTCCTTGATTTTCTAAATCAAAGAAATTGTAACAAAAAAAAAGATATGATACGAAGGATAGTACAAATTTATATAAAATCAAGAATATTAATAAACATACTTATTAATGCAAAATAATGAAGTAATAAATGATTCCCAGGAAGCATCAGAAAGCGGTGCACATTCAGGACCATCATTTTTACCGTGGCATCGAGAATTTACAAAAAGGTTTGGAATTTAGGACAAATTAAAAAGCAAAACTTGAATATAAATTTAAAACCTTTTTCGCATCAATAAATTCAAGCAGCAAATTTTCAAACTCTGAATTTATTGATGTAAAGAATATTAAAGTGAAGGTGTTTTGAAAAATATTAAAGCGAAGAAATATAACGCTTTAAAATAATAAACTTTATTTTTCAATTCTGCAAGTTGTACGGTGTTTTCGGAATTAGTACAATTCATTGAAAATACTTATTAATTTGTGTTAAAAGTAGAAGGGTTGATTAATGACTTAAATAGTTACATTTCTGTTTTAAAGATTTAAAAGTCATTTACAATATATATTTTTTTGTAACCATAATGAATTAAAACAAATTAGCCTTCTGTGGTGTTTTTTTTTTGTTAAATTATTTAAAAATTTTAATTAAGAACACAAAAGTAATTCATCGTTTCTAGACAATAAAATTTCAAACTTATATCGGATTTAAAATTTATTCATGCAAAAAAAAAATTAAAAAAATTATTTGTTTAATAAAAATTATTGTAAAAACAAGTAATTCATAGTACAAATTATTTTTAACATTTCTTTTTTTTCAAATAAAAAAGAAAAAAAATAGCTACAAAATATACACAAAAAATTATTTATCTTTTTATTCTTATTTTTCAATTTTCTTCTTAATCTTCAGTTCAAATTAACTCTTAAAATTTTCATTTTTTTTTTAACTAAAAACAGCTAATTGAGAAATTTTTAGCTTAGATTACAATCAATGAATTTAGTTATTTTCTCATAGGATGGAAATCGCTCTACGTCTAATTGATCCATTAGTTGCATTACCGTACTGGGATTCATCACTTGATCAACATTTATCCGATCCTCGAGATTCGATTATGTGGAGTCCGATCTTAATGGGAGAGAGTGATTCCAATGGACGAGTAATTAATGGACCATTTGCTGGATTCACCACACTTGAAGGTCATCCAACTATAACCAGGTGTAAAAATTACTCGCTTTCAATCATTTCATTACATATCTTGAAATTAAAATTATTATTTTTTTTTTTTAAAACTGATAAATGATCATGTCATTTTGTTTAGGCATCTTGGAAAAGAAGGTCACTTGTTTACAGATCAAAATATTAAAGCGGTTTATGATAAAAATACAATTGAAGGAATACTAGCTTACACAGCACCAACAAAAGGTAGGCTGTAAGTAAGCAAAATTATGATAACAATTAGTTATTAGCAAAATGATGACAGAAGTGATGAAAAAGATTGAAAATGCAGAGGGAGAAAAAAGAGAAGAAAATTTATGCAGATTATTTAAAAAGCTTTCTTAACTTCAAGTAAAAAAAGTTTTTTTTTTTATTTTTCCTCGATTTCAATTTCAACTTCTGTGAAAAAATTTCAAATGATGTTAGGTTTTTTTTTTTTTGGAGAAGTACAAAAAAAAAAAAACTATGCTGGTAAAATTATTTAAAAAATTTTTTCACGCTTCGTAATTACAAAATTTTGAAAAGTTTCTAAAATAACTGACAAAGTACAAAGTAAACAATAAATCTGCAATGAAATCTCGATAATCAAACGGTACGGGTAAGAATTCCTCAAATATTTCTAATTTAATTTATTTTAATCCAATAGTCTTTATCGCTACTAATCAATTGATAATCAGAATTTCAATTCAATAATTCAGAAATAATTTATTTCTTTTTAGCTTGTCCATATCCTCCAAATTATTCTGCCTTGGAATATTATCATGCCAGTGTTCATATTTGGGTGGGTGGTGATATGAAGCCTCCGATAACCTCTGCTAATGACCCCATTTTTTTCCTTCATCATTCCTTCGTCGATTACATATTTGAAAATTGGCGACAAATGCATCAAAATCGAATGCAACGTGAACAAGTTAATACTGACGTTTTTTTTCCCTTCTATTTAGTTTAATCAATAAGTATTCTCGATTTTGACTAATTCTGAGAAAAATAACATAAATTTAAAAAATTTCTCGAGTATTTTTTAAATTATGAAATGGCTTAATGATGGAACTTATTTTAAATCATCTGGAAAAGTAAGGAGGATTACTAGGAAAATAACGGGAAAGAAGACAAAAAAAATGATAAATTAGAACTTTAAAGGAAACCGAACTTAAAATAATTTCAATGATCAATATTAAGTATACAAAATCAATTTGTTACAACATATCATATTACTTTTATTCAAAGAATTTGTTGAAAAATTTCAAAAGTTTTCATCTTTCTTGTCCTCTTTTAGTTTTCTCCTCCGCGTTTTTTTTTTTTAAAAAAATTTGTTAATTTGTTACTTTTATTTTTGCTTTTGTTGCTTTCCTAATAATTTTTATTTGAATGTTGCAAAGAAATTGAGTAAAATAGCATCAATATTGATAGTTATTGATTAATTCAGGATTATCCTGACGAGATCACATCCTGTACAACTACACTTCATTTTGCTGATGCAAATATGCGCCCATTTAATCTAGCAAATAGACAAGGTAAATAGATTTGATGACTTGTCCCTCTTCTAAATTTATTGTAAAAAAGAAGAAAGAGAGAGAGAGAGAGAGAGAGAGAGAGAGAGAGAGAGAGAGAGAGAGAGAGGGAGAGAAAGAGAAAAATATGCTGTAAATTTCACTTGAATTAATTAATTAAAAAATCTAATTATATAGGTTTATCGAATGCCTATACGGACTACATGTATACTTATGAGCAAAGACCAAATTGTAGCGAAAGTCAACCAAATTGTCATTCACAATTTTTATTTTGCGATTTATTAAATGGTCCCGCACATTGCGTTTCGAAAATTAAACTCGGGAAATCATGCGAACAATTTGCTGGTGAAGATGCATGTTATATGGGAGTCTGTTCGGATGGTTATTGCAGAACAAATACCGCCACTTCGGTGAGTGAAATAATCTGAAAATAGATATTGAGATGAGGTCTTGGATTAGGTAGATAGTGTTGTAACCTACTGAGATGAAATCTTGAATTAGATGGCACTGTAACCTAATTGTAGTCTATGGGATGAAATGTTGGCTAGAGAATCCTGTAGCCTAATTATAGCTTATGAAATGAAATCTTGGCTAGGTAGTTAGTTCTGTAACCTAATTATAACCTAGCCCTATATATATATATGTATATTTCTAGTATTTATTTTTATTCCATTTAGACTTCATCCACTTCAACATTTCAATCTACCCAACTCACTATACCTTCTTTGCATTCCACTCGATCTCCTTCTCAGCATCATATAAATTTATCCGTAACGCAACGTGTTAGGAATACGCAAAGTTTAAGACGTAAAATTCTTTCCCATATTCATAATTCTATTCGGACAACAACAGTACGGTTTGAATTATTTCAAATTTACATTATTTTAATTAGTAATATTTTTTGTAGCAACAAAAAAAAGTGTTACTGGAAAATGATTTCAAATAATTAAAAATTAACAGGCAGTGGAAACAACATGTCTAAACGACAATCCATGCTGTAGCCTATGGGCCAGAAATGGTGAATGTACAAGTAATGCTGCATATATGAAAATGTACTGTCGTAAAAGTTGCAACTATTGCAAAAGCAGTGATGATCGTCGAAACGGTAATGTATAGCATTTTTTTTTTCAGCTAAATTTACCATCAATAAATATTTTAATTTTGAATAACTGAACTATCTCACTCTGTAAATTAAAACAAAAAAGAAAGAATTTCGTTCGCTGCAGATGAATTTTCAAGCATTTGAATTGTAATAAAATAATGTGGAAGGATTAGACTACAGTTAGTTTTGACTGAATTCAAATAAATTAAGTGTTATTTTATATTAATTATTTTATTTTCAATTTTTAATAGCATTTCCAGGTTGCTTCGATCGGCATATTTCATGTTCCCAAATGCGATTGCAAGGCAAATGCATTCAAAGGAGACAATGGATGGCAGAAAATTGCCAAGCTAGCTGCGGCTGGTGCAATATACCAGTTCACGATTTATGTGTCAGAGCAGCTTTAATTGGTCGAATTTGAAAATTAATTAGCTAAAAATATTCGTTAATTATTTGAACATCACTCAGATAAATAATACTGGCAGATTATTTGCTATTCTTTATTATGCATAGAATTTTCACTTCAAAATATCAAAACAATTCATTTCAATCGTAAGAATTTTTAGTAATGCTATTCAATCAATTATTTCGAATATTCAGCAAAATTCTGAGTAATATCTGGAAGTAATGTAAAGAAACACACGAAATTACGGCGTAATTAAATCCCTTCACCATGCAAATTCTAATCAGTCTCGAAGTTATATCAAATTCGTTGCATACTTTTGCATTTGAACCTTTTCCGCATCCTCTATGATCTTCCGTTTCCGTTGTAAATACTCCCCGCTTAGTACCTTTTCTCAATTTCCTTCTTTTGCATTTCATTGCCAAATTTATTGACAATACTACACCTTCCTAAACCTGATAGCTCAACCAAAATTTAATAACAAAAAAGTAGAAAACTGTCGTTCTAATGATAGCATTGGATCATTTCTCAAGCTGTCAAGACTATGAAAAACGAAAAATGAACAAGACCGTCTTGCACCAGTATAATATGTACAAATCAAGATTCAGCTATATGCAAATTTCATCAAATGTCAATATTTCATGAGACCCTCCATGAAATATTAATAGAGTTAAAAGCTAAAAGTCTGAAAATGTGTGGAAGTCTGAAAACGTAATCGAGTTAAAAGTCTGAAAATGATAACTATCATCTTCAGCACTCGATACAAATCACTTAACCACCTTATTACTGTGAAACACAGAAAAAAATACCGCACTGATATTATACCAAATATTTAATCCTCCTTCTCCTATTTCAAATCCGTTCAAACGTAAAGTTGTTTCAAATCTCTCCTTAAATTTATTTCTGAAGCAACCACATGCGACGTCACAGTGTGTGTTATGCATGAAATATACTTACATAAAAAATAAATAAATTTAATGAAAAATGCCTTCAAAAAATAATTTAAATAACAACATAAATTTATTTAGTTTTTCCAGCAGTTTTTTCTTTCGGGTCTTGCATTACCAATGTTTGATGACATTTGCCACAGTAATATCGATTTTGGTGACTAGCCATGAAAACGCCTCCACCACATGACGGTGAAGCACACTCCTTTCGCAAACGAGTAATTTTACCATTTTCATCGACCTGGAATTCGGTCAACTGAAGAATCAGAAAATAACAACGTACCACATATACCCGTGGGCAGTAAAATGAGTAAAATGATCAATCGAGTTTTAAAAGTACATGTAGACATAAACCCTTATCTTTCATGAATAGCCCGATTAAATTCAAAATCACTTACCTTATAGTATTTCAAGACGGCAAGTTTGATCTTCTTCCTCTTGTGCTTGTTTTTCTTCGGTGTAGTATAAACCTTCTTCTTCCTTTTCTTGCCACCACCACGCAATCTATTATTTTATATGATTTTAAGGAAGAAAATATTTCTCCTCCACTTCAAAATATATATTCGTGGTTCAGAGAGCTATATTTTCATTCAGTAAATCAGTGCACCAAAGCCAAAGTGAACATCACAACCACAAAGCAAATTGATTATATCCGACTTCATAGAAAACAGATTACCTCAGCACAAGATGAAGTGTCGACTCCTTCTGGATATTATAATCTGACAGTGTTCGACAACCCTCCAACTGCTTACCTGTTCGTTAGAAAAAATCACAATATGAGTACTGCTGGTCCGTCATCATGTATTATACCGAAGTATAATACACTCGGGAATCAGCGATTTTAAAGTTAAACAAAGTAATTGAAAATGTAAAAAACATCCGATGATACTGTGAAATTAGCACGCTTTTTCGAGGGTACTTCGACTCAGAGGTGAACGTTTTAAGTCATGGTACTCTCATAGGCCAGGACACCTTTGAACACCAATATATCATCATAACCGAAGCAGAGCCACGTTACGCTACGTTCACAACAAATTTTTATAGTTGCAAATAAAAACACAAGAATTACCTGCGAAAATAAGTCGTTGTTGGTCAGGCGGAATGCCTTCTTTGTCCTGAATTTTAGTCTTCACATTCTCAATGGTATCAGACGATTCCACTTCAAGGGTGATCGTCTTTCCAGTTAATGTCTTTACGAATATCTGCATCTTATCGTAGTTACCTAAAAGGTATCCATCTGTTGAGAAGTAAAAACGTGAAAATTCTTTTACTATAGCATCAAACAGCATTTAAAGTTCTCATAATCAGTTTTATCATACATACTAGTTAGCAGTTATGTTTATGAGATAAACTCTATGTTTACATCATACATACACTTTTAACTGATCCCAACTACTAATGACCCCGAAGCGTAAAGGAAACCAAACCTTCAACTGTACCCTAAAACTGGACAAAAATAACACAGCTTTTATCACATCACAGAATGAAATATTGTATCTCATTCAATATTATTAAACATCATTCCGATCCAACTCTATCATATCTCTTGCAATTGTTTAGCTTAACCTCACAGAGTGGAACATCGGTTAGGGAATTCAGATAGATCAAATTTTAGATCAAGTAGTTTAGAGAATCTACATATGAAATGCCACATATTGAATACTAATTGATAGAGTATTGATAATTGAGAATTCAGCAATGAAAGCGTTGTTGAGAAGAAATAAATGATTATTGAGATGGCAACACTTGTGAAAAAATCATTATATACAGTCGCTTGTAAGTTGATGAAATCCGGAAAAAGCATGCTAGCCCCGATGAAAGTATCGGTAAAGCATTAGCATCTTGCTGAAATTTAAATTGGATTAGGCATGTGTCTTTATCATTACTAGTACAGTAATAACTGTTGAACAATGAAAATTATATCGCATTATTTTATATTGTATTACCTATGAAATTAGCTATTTTCTTATTACTCGTTCAATAAAATGAAGATTCGAGAAGTCTCCGGAAAAATAATTAATTAATCTACCATAATTTTTAAGTATGATCGCTGCGATTGCAATGAAAAATAATGCGAAGGACTGAAAGAAATACCATCAATATTTACTGTTTGAAACATCAAATATATCACAATATATTTAACACATGAAGAAACATTTAGTTAGGCGATTTATCAGTTTATCAGTGAGGCACAAGTATGTGGGCAATTGGCAGCTTGTGTTGGGATAGTAAGATGCTTATAATTTCATTGGTGCTCTTGCCAGCTTATCTATTCAGCAAAATAAATTTATGGAAACACTGTTAAGTCGAAACTAAAATTTTCCGAAGGAATTTGTAAACAGTATTGTAGAGGAAAGAGATGGTCCCCTTACTCTCTTTGTGATATCTTTTACTGTTAGAGAAATGACGCCGGTAAACGTTTTGTGGAGGTCAAGGAAGACGGTATGTTACCGAGAATTAAGCTTGATTCCCAAACACATCCTAGTAATCTACTTTTCAAAAACTCGAAATCCACTTGATGGAATCTCTGAGACTATTGTAATTATGATAAAATATGCTTTGCGGTTATGCTGAGCTCTACAAACTCCAGCTATAAAAGCCTGGATGATGCATAATCCGATGAAGATGCAAAGCAACATTTCGACATAGAACAAAGCTTAATGTTTTGGCTATCGAAGGATCGATAATCTTAAATGAAAAGATGAAAACTTTAGTTAAAAAGATTTTGACTGATTAGTAATATGCACATGTTCTTCTTTTTTGATTTCTGTTCTAATGTCACCTCGAAATGAAATTGAAAATTTTAATATCTAATTTAATTACATAAATGAATCTATAACATATACTCATTTCTTCCTTTACATTTACTAAATTCAGAAATGCCAACGCCCTTGTTTTGGTTTGTATCCGAGCTTATTGGCTACTCCTTCATAAACAGGTGATTCGGCATATACACAAAGTTGAGGTGGATTGGTATGTCGCCGTTTTTGTACCTGTAACTCATAAAAA